TCTTTATAATGTCCTTTGATGAACAAACAGTTTTAATTTGGATGAATTGAGTTTATTTTTTCTTTTGTTCTTCATATTTTTCATATCATATCTAAAGATCCATTGCCAGAAAATACAGTCTTGAAGGTTTACTCATTTTTTTCTTAATAGTTTTAGGTCAGTGATCCATTTTAAGTTCCTTTTTGCTATGATGTTAGGTCTGTGTCAAGCCTCCCTTTTCCACCTATGGAGATTTTTTTGTCTCAGCATCATTTGTTGAAGAAACTATTCTTTCTCCATGGAATGGACTCGGTATTCCTCCTGAGAACTAGATCTTATGGCAAATCTTGAGATTATATCTGTACTCTCAGTGATACTCCATTGGTCTAAATATCTATCATTATACCAGTACCACACTTTTTTTCATATCGCCAACAGATTTTTAATTTTTTTGGAAAGGAATGGATTGTGAGGAAAGAAAAATAAAAAAGCATGAGGCAGGGCAAAGTTTGGAATAGAAAATAAATACAAATGTAAGCCATTTTGCTAATTGCTCTCTAACCACAAACGAGCACAGGGGAGGTCCTGGAGCAAAGGACACAACACAGGTTCAGAGATGGCGGTGTTCCGGGAGCCAGGCTGCGGAGTGCAGGCTCTGGTGTTCGGATGGAGGCGGCTGTCCTTGCTTTTGGACGCCCCCCTGGGTGTGTGGGCACAATCCACGCTTTAACCAGAGTTGAACAGAAGGATGGCCACATGGCCCAGGTAGAAGTAGAGGAAGTGCTTAGTTTCATGTGTCACACAAGTACCAACGTTTCTGCCCACAATGCAGTGCCAAGTGGGATTGTGCTTCTTGTCAAACTCCTTCTTGCTGTGGGCCGCAGTGCCCTTCCCTGTGTTGTATTTCTCCAGTGCCTGAGTGGCGCACCCCACTGAGTTCTGTAGCGTCTCCTCCGACAGGTCGCGTTTCTGATCACCTCCTTTGGCCGCACGTGGTCACCGTGAAGCGCGGACTAGCCAACTGAGAAGGTCCCTGGGTTTGTTAACACCACTTCCTTTCCCCCCACCTCCTCCTCTCCCACGTCCCCCCCGGAACTGTTGGTCCCGTTGTTTTCTCCTCCAGATTGTTCATCCAGCCTGTCCTATCCAGACAGACCTGCGGATATACTAACATGCACAAAAACAAGACAGAGCAAAACCAAGCAACAATACTTAATTTCCTTTCCTGATGATTCATTACTGATCTATAGAAACACAATGGATTTATGTGTGCTGATCCTGTAACCTGCAACTTGCTGAATGAATTGATTAACTTAAAAGCTTCCTTACAGATTCTTTCTAAGCTTCTTTATCTGGCATCATTTCATGCATGATTCAGACAGTTTAATGTTGTTCGTTTTTTTTTTCAAGACAACATCTCATTTATTTGTAATTAGAAATAAATATTTCACAATATATAATTACATATTTTTGTGATTAATCACTATGCTTTAATGATGTGCAATTTGTAACAATGAAAATACATCCTGCATATTAGATATTTATTTTATTTTATTTTTATATTAGATATTTATATTATGATTCATAACAGTAGCAAAATTACAGTTATGAAGTAGTAATGAAAATAATGTTATAGTTGGGGATACATGAGGAAGTGTATTAAAGGGTCGCAGCATTAGGACGGTTGAGAACCACTGCTCTACACTGAGGGGTCAGCTGAAAGACCAGAGGATCCAGCCAGAGCAAGTGATCTGTGAGTTGAGTGGGTTTCAGGATGCTCAGAGGGTCTACAATCAACTGAATCACAATTAAATTCCATTAGAAACTTCAAGGCTAACTGTAAAACAGATTAAAGTTGAAGATTCTGGCAGCTAGAGACTGAGGATTCACACAGTATGAATACACACTTTATGTTTTTTGTTGTTGTTTAAGCTCAAGTTATTGGGTGCAAATGGTTGTGAGAGTACACTTACTAACATTTTCTTTTTTTCTTTTTAATTGTTTTATCAGGGGCTCATACAACTCTTATCACAATCCATACATACATCAATTGTGTGAAGTACATTTGTACATTCATTGTCCTCATCATTCTTAAAACATTTACTCTCCACTTAAGGCCCCGGCATCAGGTCCTCATTTTCCCCCTCCCTCCCCGATTCCTCCTCCCTCATGAGCCCTTGATAATTTATAAATTATTATTTTGTCATATCTTGCCCTGTCCGACGTCTCCCTTCACCCACTTTTCTGTTGTCCGTCACATGTAGATTCTTGTAATTGGTTCCCCCTTTCTAATCCACGCTCCTTCTACCCTCCCAGTATCGCCACTCACACCACTGGCCCTGAAGGGATCATCCGCCCTGGATTCCCTGTGTTTCCAGTTCCTATCTATACCAGTGTACATCCTCTGGTCCAGTGCACATCCAGTGTACATCCTCTACCTTGCAAAGTAGAATTGGGAACATGTTAGTGGGGGGGCGGTGCAGACAGTTTAATGTTTTCCTTTCCTTTTGTTAACTAATCATCTTGGATGCCATTTATTTATTTTTCTTCCTTTTTTGCTCTGGGCAAAACTGTCCACTACAATGTTGAATACAAGCAGGCATGAACACCATGTTAACTTTAGGTTTTTCATCTCATGTGTAGTTGTTTCTCTTCTAGTCCAAGTTTGCAGAGTTACATTTGTATGGGTGCTAGTTTGTGGGTTCTCGATTTTGCCTTTTCTGCGCCAGTGGAGACGACCTGCAGGGCTTTCCCTTCCCGTTTCGAATGTGGTGTCTCCCCGCGACTGCTGGACGTACGTACGTGCAACCACTCTCACATTCCCAGAACAAATCCGTGGTCGTCGCGGTCTTTTTGACGAGTGGATGGAGTCTGATTTGCTAGCATTTTGTTGAAGATTTGTGCACCTCCGTTCACAAGGGCCGTTGCTCTATAGACTTTTCATCCTGGAGTGTCTCTCTTTATCTCGTGTTGGATCAGGATAGCGTCGGCTTCTAGAATGAGCTAGGAAGCACGCCCTCCTCATCTAGTTTTCGGAAGAGATTTGAGAAGGATCAGTGTTCATCTCAAAGGTTTGGTGGAAGTTCCCAGTGAAGATGGCAGGTCCTGGATGTTTCTTTATCTGAATGCTTTGGTTCACTCTCCATTTGTTGAGATTTTCTCTCTTCTGACTACATGTGTGTGTGTGTTTAGAAACCCTCCCTGTACTATTTTTTTGTCTCTTCCAGAATTTGTCATTCATGTGGAATCCTGCCACATGCAGAATCAGGCTCCCTTCATTGAGTACAGTGCTCTTGGGATTCACCCACGTTGCTACGTGTCTTAGACATTTGTTCCCTTGAACGCTGCCATTCGTTCCGTTGCAGGGCTCTTGCACAGTCTGCTTGTCTATTCTCCATCTGAGGAACATTCGTGTTGCTGCCAGTTTGGGTGCTTTTGAATCAAGTCCCTATGAACAGTCATAGGTCTTTATGCAGCCATGTTTAACTTCCTCCTAGATAAATACCTAAGAGTGGAATTTCCAGGCTGCTTTCCAAGTGTACATTTAACTTTGTCCGAAACTACCAAACTATTTTCTGAAATGGCTGTACTATTTTGCATTCTCGTTTGTAATACATGACCATATTACTAGCACATAGGATTGTCAGGTTTTCTCCTCCTCCTCCTCCTCTTCTGCAGTTTTAGCCATTCTAATAGGTGTATTTTAGGTGGTTTTAATTTTCACTTCCCTAATGAGCATCTTTTTATGTGCTTTGCCTACTGGCCTATATGTCATCTTTGGCACAGTATCTTCAAATCGCTTGCATATTAAGGAAAAGGATTGTTTGTTTTCTTGCTAAGTTTTGAGTCTTTATATATCCTAATATATAAAGTCACTTTTCAGATGAATGTTTTGCAACATTTTTCTCCCAGACCCTTAGAAGAGAAGGATTTTATGGAAAGCAATTCTTGGATTATAGACACCCAAGTCTACGACATTGCAGGGCAGGGGAACGGGACGCAGCGGGATAAAGGCAAGGAGACTGTCTTGATGGTCCAGGTGAAAGATGACTGCTGAGCCAGGGTGGGGGCCAGGGGAGACCCCCAGGGTGGTATAATGACCTCCTTGACCTTGGTGAGCCCTCCTTCCTTCCCTCTCACCTTTCTTCCTTTGACAAATACTGTGGAGCACTTAGTAAGAGCCAGATACTGTTCTAGACGTGGAGGAAATGTCAACGAAGACATTCTTGCTTTCGTGGAGCTTCCTTCTTGGTGGAGAAGGCAGACAAGATACAGATACCGAACCACGTCTTGAAATATGATGATGCTCGACACAGCCCAGGGCTCTTACTGAGATGCCACCATCCAGGTGATCCTTGGCTGGGAAACCAGTCCTCTGGGATTCCGCTCCAGAAGCAGTGAGAACAGCGGGAGGAACTCTGGGCTGAGGCAGCAGCACTGGGCTGGACTTCAGGTGCTCTGGCCATCAGGACGGCCTCGGGCAACTTCCTTCAACCTTGGGGCCCTCAGGCCACTTCCCTCTCCTGGTTGGTCTAAATCGGGGGTCAGCAAACTGAGGCTCAAGAGCCAGATGTGGCTCTTTTGGTCCGTACATGTGGCTCTAAAGTACAATTGAAAAAATTTAAAGGATATTATTCAGGTAATGGTGATTTTGTTTATAAAAATATATTTATGGCTTTCAAATGATTTTTAAATTGTTGGGAGGGACAGGACTGGCTCTCCCATCTCAAAAGTTTGTCCACCCCTGGTCTAGATGATCTTTCAGGTGCCAGAATTTTGGATTTGAAGTTCTTACAAGCTACCCGAGAGACGCTGACAAGCCAAGCTATGCACCATGTGAAGGGAAACTCCTTTTTAGAAATTAGGCTATTGCGTTTGAAAAAGTCTGACGGTCTTCAGTTTGGGCCTCGTGCCCAGTGTAGGATAACATGCGCCCTGCATCTGACAGGTGCCCCTTCAGAGATAAGAGGTGATGCTTTTCTAAGGACCCAGTTTCATTTTCTCTTTCTGTCTTTTTAAAGGGAAAGGATCACACCTGCTTCTAAGAAGACAGTGCCTTTCAACTGTAGATTATAACTCAGATGCTACTCATTAAAGCTCTTTTGTGAAGGTCACATCTGCAGTGACCTGAGGCCCCAAAGGTCGGAAGACAAATTTGGGGACGGGAGGGTGGAGTGGGAATGGGGGTCTTAAAGAAAAGACACTCGACGGGCTGGGATGTGGTGGAATCACGCTGGAGTCCTCTATCTGGTGGTCATGATGTTTACCAAGAGAGCTGGATTCAGATATCTTGTGACGTGAGATGAACTACCCCGAGAGTTCAAATAAGGACGTGATATCAACACGGGAGCCGGACATCAGAGGGATGAACGGTGGATCCGCTTATAACCCCTTCTAATCCAAAGCCAGAGTGCTTGCGTCCTTTGTTAAAGTCCAGAAAGAGGTAGGATAGTGTGGCAGATGTCGTATGGAGCTCGACATCACTGCCAGGAATAACCTGGTCAGCATCCACCCACACTTCTGGAAGCAGAGCAGGACCCCATTGCTACCAAGAGGTGAGTGACCTCCAGGCAGCGTCCTCCTGTGGGGAACAATTGGCTCCACCCACAAAGTCCACTTTTGTGAGCACCTGAATCTATTTCTAAAGGAGATCTGGTGGTGCTGTTGGTAGGCATTGGACTGCTGACCTGTCATGAGGCCAGTAGTTCAAACCCACCAAATGCTCTGGGGAAGAGAAGAGAGACTGTCTGTTCCTGTGAATGTTTGTAATCTCAAACACTCTCTGCAGCGTTGCTCTGAGTTGGAACTGACTTGCTGGCAGTGGGTTTAGTTTTGAGTTACCGTAATATATTCCCAAAGTGGATCTGTTGGGGTGAGTCACACCGTCCAGAGCTTTCTCCCACACTGTCTGTCAGTGAGCAACTGGGTAGAATGGGGAGCTGTGTTGTTCCTAGAGAGGAGGAGCCTTGGTCACACTGCTTCAGTCATGAAAATGACATCATAGTAAAAAAAATTCAAGACACTCTCTCCGGAGAATGAATGTCCTAAAGAAAGTGAGTTAGTTTATTGTGCCAGCCTGGCTGATAAACACAAGTGGGATTAACTGAAGGGCAGAGAGATAAATGGCTTGGTGAGCCTCACCTTTCTTGTCTCTTGCTCTGTGATCATCGGACCAGTGTGTGGCTGCCTTGCTTGTTCTGTGCCTCAATTTAAAGGCTACACTACCTGTGGGACACCTAGCCTGTGGACTGTGTCGCTGTAAATTGAGGTCCCTTTAAGACATCTCTGGAGCTGGGGACTGGCGGTTGGTGACCTGCCTTGTGATTGGCTGCTGTGCTGACATAGCCTAGCTCTCTCTACAAATAGAGGAAGATCTGGCAGCAGACTAGACTTGAAGGACTGCTAGTCTCTCAACTTTCTCTCATGGACATGAGTTGCACTGAGCCATTTGTAGTGCTTTATAATTTAACTGTTTATTTCTTGTATTATATATTTATCTGTATATGATTTAACAGTTCATTTCTTGTTATATATCTAATTATCTTTATAAATAAATATATTAAATTATCAGCAATTTGGTTTTATCTCTCTAGAGAACCCTGTCTAACACAGAATGTAACTTATTTCTCACTTACATTGAAATGACTATTTTGTTTATTCACGGGCAACATGATCATGCATGTAAAACTATTCTACTGAGTCTACCAAAAGTTACTAGAACTAATTAGTTTAGCAAGGGCTCAGGATACATGATCAACATACAAAAGCAAAATATGGAAATTAAAATGCTATTTATAATAGCATCACATTATGAAATACTTACATATAGTTGACAAAATATGCATAAAATCTGTATATTGTAAAGTATAAAAACACTACTGAGAGAAAAATTTGAAGACCTAAATAAAGAGAGGCATATACTATGTTCATGGGTCAAAAGACTCAATTTTGTTAAATTGTCAGTGTTCCACAATCTGAACTATAGATTCAATGCAATATCATTCAAACTCCTGGTGGGCTTTTGTTGGTGGTGTTTTTACAGCAATTAACAGATTGATTCTGAAATATAGGGAAATACAGAAGACATAGATTAGCTATAAAATGTACATTAAAAAAATTGGAGAACTAACACTACCTGATCGATTGCAGATTTATTAGTTACAAGAATCAAGGCCATGTACAATTTATGTTTACACTCCAGAAATAGATTCACATGTATATGGATATAACTGATCTTAAGAAAGGTGCAAAGGTACTGTGGTAGAAAAGGGGTAGTCTTTTAAACAATGATGTTAGAAGTATTAGCTATCTGTATACAAAAAGTAAACTGGGATCAATGCCTGTGCCATATACAAGATTTCCCCATTTGCATGAAATGAACTTGTGTATCACTAAAAAAATCCAAGTCCACTTCAGTTTCCTTTTCGTCCTTTCATAGCCACCCCGACAGTGTGCAGACCTGAGGGTAAGGAACTGGAGGGCTTTTAAGGCTGCGGGCCTTCACTTAAAAACTTTTTAAATTTCAGCTTTATTTACTTATTTATCTTGGGTCTTAAAAAAGAAATAATATATGTGGTCACACAGCCCAGCTCATCTTTAGCAAATGGCCCACTCATGTCTTGGGCCCATTTTGTTAATTGGGCTATTTGTATATTTACCATATAAGAAAATGAATTCAAAATTGATCTTAGACGAAATAAGAAACCAGCAACAAAGGAGCCCTGGTGGCACTGCTGGGTGAGCATTGGACTGCTACCTGCAAGGTGGGCAGGCAAGTGTCAGTCAAGACCCCTTCAATGTCAGCAACGATATCCCTTGCTCCATTTCCTCTTTTGAATCCAGCCTGAATCAGATGAAAACACTGGATTCAAGCTCCCTGTCAATGTCCTGCTGCAACCGTTGTTGCGTGAGTTTCAGCAAAATTTTACTTGCATGTGATGTTAATGACATTGCTAGGTAATCTGAGCATTGTTAGGTCAGCTTTGTCTGGAATGGGTACAAATGCGGATCTCTTCCAGGCAGTTGACCTCATAGCTGTCTTCCAAATTTCCTGGCATAGACAGTGCTTCCAGTGCTTCCTCCGCTTGCTGAAACATTTCATTTGGCATTCCATCAATTCCCGGAGTCTTGATTTTGGTTGGTGTTTTCAGTGCAGCTTGAACTTCTTTCTGTACCGCTGGTTCTTGCACGTATGCTACCTCTTGAAATGGTTGCATGTTGACTAGTTGTTTTGGGTATACTGACTCTGTATTCTTTCCATCTTTTGCTGTTTACTGCATCACTCAATAGTTTGTCCATAGAATCTTTCAACCTTGCAACTAACTCAAAGCTTGCATTTTTTCTTGAGTTCTTTTAGTTTTAGATATCCCGAGTGTGTTATTTATTCTCGTTTTCTAGCTCTGGATCTTCGCACATTTCATGATAATATTTTACTAGTCTTTTCAAGACAACAAGGGCATATTACATGGTTGAACCTGGACAGATATGAGTTAGTGTGCTAGACTGGGTTGACTAGAGAAACAAATCCAGAGAGAGCTTTATATCAAAGAGCAATTGTATATTGAGAAAACAGCCCAGCGCAGTCCAGATCAAGTCCATAAGCCCAGTATCAGCCCATATGTCCATAAATTCCTCTTTAGACTGACACAGCACATGCAGTGACACCGAATGCAGGAAGATCACAGGCAGGTGGGTGGAAAGTCTTGTGGATGCAGTGGCGGTGGAAGCATCTCAGCACTGGCACAGGTCTCCAGGTGGCTCTTCCAGCTCCAGGGTTCTGGCTGCCATCAGTGTGGCTCCATGTGGCTTGTCAACAGGAATGTGAAGCAGAGAGAGTGCAGGAATGTGAAGCAGAGAGAGTGTCCTGCTGGAGGAAGAGAAGTTTCCAGAATTTTCATGAGAAGGCTACGTCCACAAAGAGGCATCAGGCTGTGACCTGACTGATAGGTTAGACTCCACCTCTTCACTCTTAATATCCTAGAGTTGACACAAGACACAGTCAGGGTTGCATCCTTTCACCGCACTTACTCAATTTGTATGATGAGCAAATAGAAAAGCTGGATTATATCAAGAAGAATGTGGCATCAGGATTGGAGGCTTAGGAAAAACTTGCTGTATGCAAATGACATAAGCTTGCTTGCTGAAAGTGAGGCGGACTGGAAGTACTTGCTGATGAAGATCAAGAACTATAGCCTGAACGACAACTCAATGTAAAGACAACCACCAAAATCCTCACAATTGGACCAATAGGTCACATCATGATAAATGGAGAAAAGGTTGAAGCTGTCAATAAGTTTGTCTTGCTTGGATCCACAATTAATGCTCGTGGAAACAGCAGTCAAAAGATCAAAAGACGCATTGCATTGGGTAAATTTATGGCAAAAGATCTCTTTAGTGTTGAAAAGCAAGGGTGTTCCTTTGAAGATTAAGGTGTACCTGATTCAAGCCATGATATTTTCATTTGCCTCATCTGCATGTGAAAGTTGGATATTGAATGAAGAAGACTGAAGGGCCGGGCTGTGTTTTGTTCTGTTGTGCACAGGGTCGCAGTGAGTTGGAACGGAATCAGGGGCACCTAACACAGTAACAACTTAGCAAAAAAGAACAATACAATGCATGGATCAATCTCCCTAATGAAAGCAGCCTGAGCCCCAAAGCAACAGAACAAGTACGTACTGCACGATTTCACTTAGGGGAGTTGTTCGATGACTTCCTGTTGGGACTTATCTTGTAGGGGAGTTCACTGGTTTTTGGAGGGGAATCTTTTTGTCATTCATGATGATAGAGAAGTTTGGGGCTAGCAAATCTTTAAAGATTCTCCATGCTTTTGTCTCCTCCGGTTCTGAAATTCCAATCAGGCATAGAGTACTCCTCTTGATCGTGTCCCACATAGCACTTAGACTTTCTTCGTCTTGTTTTTCTGGTTTTCCTCAATCAAATGAGTACTGAGGGGTTTGTCCTCTATTTAGCCAGAGCTTTCTCCCATTGAGTCAATCCTACTTTGGATCCTTCTATTGAGTTATGTATTTCTATTTTATGCTGAATCTTCTGGACTTCTACTTATTGCTTTTGGATGGTTTCTAATGGTTTGTTCTGTCA